GAATGGCAGTCCTGGCTCTGGGTGGGCAGGAGGAAGGACCTGACTGATGCCCTGGCCAGGAGCAGGACTACCCCAGTGTTGCCCCCCGAGGTGCCAAGGCTGGTTGGGTTTCAACCGGGCTTTTTGGCCTGAATGCAGGAGCTGCTGCGAAGCGGGTCCTTTCACTGGCATCTTCTGGGGGGAGGGAAACGGCTGCTGGTGCTTTTAGGTGCAGACGTGCAGTATCCCACATACCTGCCAAAGCTCCTTCAGTGATGGGAAAATTAGGGGGGGAACTTTGTGTAACTAACTGTGTTTCCATACCCTTTTAATTTTGCCCTACAAACACAATAGCTCTGCAGGAAGGCACAATTTGTCTCCTGGTGTGGTATATTTAGACAAAAGGTAAATCTGATTATCTTAGCTCAGACAATCCAATAGTTTTAAGCTCCAGATTTTTAATTAGCGGTGCATTGCCCTCAATGCTGTGAAATTGTCTCTTTCTCTTCTGAAAATTGTGTTGTCTTATAAAATCTGTGAAAATGAAGTGGAAAATAACATCTAATGTAAAGAAATTCAGAAATATTTAGAATCATAGCATTTTAATTTAAAAAAAGAACAGGTTGAGGACGTCAAGCTATTTAGGGTATTTTGTATTCATTACTATGGTATGTGTAGCTTGCTGTCACATAAAATACTGAAGTAGTCTTTGGAGAGTGAATTTAGGACGCAAAAGAAACCCACACATAGCACATGAGCTAGGAGGTTTCATTTATTCTTTGTTTGCTCGGAAAGGCGGCTTCCAAACTCTGCTTTCCACCTCACCGCTGGGGGAAGGCAGTGGCCTGCGGTACTCTCCAGCATCGCTGGGGTTAATACTAAGTTTTCATTTCCCTCTTCAAAGCTGGCCACCTTGGGCCCATGCTCTCCTCCATCTTTCTGCATTAGGATGAAGACAGGTTATTCAGCTCGAGAATACAATTTTTAACATTGCTCAGTGTTCTGCACTGTGTGTCTAGTTTAAAGTTATAGCCTAAAGGCTTTGTTCACCTCTAGCTTAACCCATTTTGAAGTAGAACTGCAAGACTGAAGCTAGTCTCACTGGCTTCCAAACTAAGTGTTGTAACCCCAACAGTGGGATGGTATGTCTATGCAGCTCGCGAGCTGGACAGAAGTTCAGTTGCCTGGCTCACTGCTGGAAGGAGGTTTAAAAGCTCACAGGTAAAATGGGGAGCTGGGGAAAAAAATGATGATCTAGGATTAACTGCTTGACATGATGGTCATTTTTGTCATATATAATAATTTTCATTTAATATTATTGAACAAGAATTATGGAGCTAATTTTCAAACTTCTCTTTCCGTATAAGCAATTCATTCTAATTCTTATTTCCAATATATTATTATTCTACCTTGCATCCTGTCTGATTGTTTCATCTCTTTTAGATGCCTAGTTACTTTTTAATTAAAAATTAATAACCTTATTTTAATTTATCTTGTAATTTGGAAAAAGAAAAGAACAATAGAATGGTTCTTGGCTTTCTGAGGAACAGTATTTCTGTGCAATGATAGAAGAACCCAAACGGCAGTGCATCTATCTCAATGAATATCTGGCTCTGGCTGACAGCATACCAATTGTTCTGCCACTCTTATCCTTTGGAGGTAGAAGATAATTTGTGGAGCTGTGTGGAAATGTCAAAATAGATAAAAGGCTACCCTGTACATTTCATGCATCCAGAAAGGGTGTTCTTGTGGGAACCAGAGCCTGTAATATGAAGAGATGATCAACTTTGACACAACACATGTTTTTTGGCTTTGGAACCCGGCCTCATTTTCCGAGGGTTTTTTGAAAGCCTCTGTTCTGGGGGTATGAACAGTAAGCGTTTACTTCACAGCGCCTGTGTGCCAGGAATTTTCTGAAAATCAGGAATTTTTATGGCATACCAAGTCAAGCATGAAGAACCCTTTATATTTCAGGAGTTTGGCACTCCGGCAACACTAGTAGGAGACTAACTGCAGATGAGCCACAATTCAGCGCAGGCACGCTCGTGACTCAAGCAGGTGGCGCTTTTTGTGGAGTTTTTGGTGCTTCCTGGGCTCTGATTATTGATTTGCTTATTAGGCAAGAAGATAGCAAATGTTCTCCCCCACTCAATGAGAAAAGAAACATTTCACACTGACGTTCCTGCTTAATGTCGCGTTTGAGTGTAAACCACAACTAGGCAGAATATCCTTAAGCAGTGACGTATTTGTGCAGTCAAGGATACTGTCACCTTATCAATAGAACGTGGAGGGATATTAAACATGATAACATGTCATTTTGAATCAACTTTAAAATCTCTTGTTTCAGGACTAGTTGTATGGTGATTATATATTTTAGATAGCAGATTTATTCTTGTCTTCTTTTTCCTAAAAACAATCAACAATACAATTTTAAGCTTCCTGAGGGACTGAGAATCTTTATCCTCTGGGTGAGTTTGATATCTCTGAGTAAGTCTGTGAAGTTTGCTAATGTGTGCAGTGTACTAAATCTGGATTGCAGTAGAGCTTGCTCTAATTTGCAAATTAAAAACAAATATACCTTCCCCCCCATATTCTTGGACTATGACATTTGAATACTTCCCCTTTCACTTAGAACTGCAAATTCAGAAGGTTTCTATTAGTAATTTATGTTGCATGATGACCATGTAGGGAATATGCTTTTCATTTACAAATAAACTTTGACACTGGGCATCTGCCATTCTAAGTTGTCCTTAAAAAACTGTCAAGTAATATTTAGAAGATAAGCCTTTTTCTTATTGCATACATAGCCACACACATACATGCTTTTTAGATCTGGAGACATAGTACTATGCATTAATAAATTAACCATGTGTTTCAGAAAGATGTAACAGACTTCTTCACTGAGTTTTATTTAACTGAACCACATGTAAAATCTTGTCTATTTTTACTTTTATCTACAGTAGTTCTGAAGGTGATAAAGGACAAAAGGAGGTCAGAATTTCTAAGCGTTGAAGAACGAAATTTGATAAACTGAAATAGTTTAATTACTGATAGGATAGAGGGGTGATCATTTCTTTTCAGGGTAACTGAGGTAAAATATTGGCTCTGGTTGGGCAGCTGTTCACACAGCTGGAATTTAACAAGGATTTCGCCCCTTTCCCCTCACAAACATTGAAAGCAAACTCTTACCAGGTCCTGTTTGTCCAAAAGTTGGTGGGCAGTTGACTAGTGTCCATTGTACTGCCTAATTCTGTGTTGTCACCTTTTGTTCTCTTGTCTGGAGCTACCTCTTGTCCCTCTGTGTATATGTGCGCTGTGATTTCTTTAGGGCAGGTATCATCTTTTTATCATATGCTTGTACATAATCTGGATTGCTTAACATTCCAGCAATGCACAGTCAGTAACATTCAACATCAGGAGAGAGCTAGGACCACAATCTAATACCATTTATTCTGTTGATAATCTTAGAAGTAAATGGGCCAGATATTTAATGTAATTTGCTTTATTTTTATATTTGTTGTTATTTGGCTAATATTGTTGCTAATCTAATTACGAATATAAGGCATTTTCATTAAAGTATAGCTATCAAAACTGGATGTATCAGCGCTTACAATTCAGTCTCTGTTGAAATGACTGATTAGTTTCTTTCTTTTTTTATTCTACCTTGAGGCCTTTTTGGTGCTGTTTGAGATTAAAGACAGAAAGAATAAAAGAATAATAGAAGGAAAAACAGGGAGTAATTGAAACTCCTTAAAGAAACAGGATTTTTTAGAAAAAAATCACTCCTATTTCTGGGGTAAACATTTAACTTTTTGGGTGATTCTCTTACGTGAATCTCTGAACTACCAGTTAATGAGAAAGCATAGTCAGCCATTTTCTGTCTTCAGCCCAAACAAGCTGAAGTGAGTTTGCTACTTAAAGTAAGTAATCTCTGCCTTATAAAACAGCACAGGCGTGTCTATGAACCAAATAGATTTTGAGAGAGCATTTCAAATCTTACTTGTTGAGTAGTTCTGGGTGATTTGTAAAGCTGTTCTTTTCTATTAGTTTAGAAGACTAATATTTCAACTGGGGATTTTTTTCCTTTCTCTTATTTTTTGCATACACTGAAATAAAAAAGCATCTACAAATAAAGTATTAGAATAGATTTATATGTAGATAATGTTTTGCTTTTTAGTAGCAAGGGAGAGGTCTAATGGTTTCTTCAATTGCAGAAGCATGATTTTTGCAAGTCTGGAGTTTTGAGAACCTCTTTTCATCTCAAGCGCATACAAGAAATTGGTGTTAAAAAGTGATCTAAATATGAATCAAATTTCAATTTTCATGAATTTTCATTTGAATTTTCAATTCAAATTTCATGTCAAAATTTCATGAGAGCAAATACGTAACATTCAGACTGTGGCATCCAGGACTGTCAAATAATTTATAAGGTGTGAAAAAAGGTGCAAATATTGGGCTGGCAACATTTGAAAATCACATAAAGGATTGTAGTAGGATTTCCAAAAACTCCCACAAAAACAGATGATTGGATAATATAATTACAGATAAAAACTGTAGATAATTTAAGAATTTTAAGTGGAATGTGTTATACAATATGAAGGCCAATTTGAATTACTTATGTCCTTTACTGGAATCCAACAACTCAAGGAAAAAAAGTCAAGACATAATTGTGAAGAGGTTTTTTTCAGTGCATATTGTATGAAATAGAAATTAGAACACATAGGAAAGCCTCAAAAAGTATATAAAAATATCTCATTTCCACAGTGTACAAATATATATAGAGAGAGACCATTCTAAAGATAGAAGGATCTTATGATACTCTGTGAAGTTCTGGCCATATCCCTTAGAAATGGATATGATAAATTAGGATTTTTTTAGATGACAGGAACAATTAGACATCTATATAAAATGCTGAAGTTTATTTTCCAGAAAAGCAGCAATAAAAAGACGTATGACAGAGCCATAAAAAAAAAAAAGAATAAGGATAAGACAGAGTCATTAAATAACATTTTACTTCTGATTCGTAAATTATAGTGAAAGCAATTAATTTAAAATTAACAACAGGAATTATTCTTTTCTATAACATACAATTAACTTGTAAAACTCTTTATCAGAAGCTGTGATTGAAGTTGAGAGCATAAACCAACCTTTGTGGCATAGGTGGTTTAGCACTTCGCAAGTGAATTATGAGGCCATTTTTGCACTCTGTGAATGAGGATAGCAGAATTTTCCAAGATGAAGAAAACCTACTTGAAACAGTGTTTCTTGTATCTCCCTTTGAGGACTTGTTACATGCTATTGTTAAAGACATGGTTCCAGATCAGGTCCACACCACATCAGGTCTTACATAGCTATATTAAAAGACCCTTATTTTACTAGAGTTAAATGGCTAAATTCCAGTCTTACTTACAATGTCAAAAATGAGAAGATGTCATACTTCAGAGGCTGTTTCATCTGTGCAAGCACGTCCCAGAATGCTGAGATGATCTTGACCCAATTGGTAAGTCATCTTTTTTTTTGGCCACTTTCAAGGTGCTCTAGGAGGACTAATGCTCATTAAAGAGATAGCTGTAAGGCCGTGCCTTTGCACTGAACCGATACCTTTAACTGAAATGTTAATTAGGACTTGTTTGCCTATCCAAGTAACGCTTGGCAGTATCATCAAAGTAATGCTTGAACAACTTTGAAGAAGCATGCCGCTTTCAAAAGCTAAGCAGGAGGAAAACCTGAAATGGCTGAAAGAGTACTCCAGGTGGGGAAACAAATCCAGCTGCCCAGAAAAACAGAGAGAGAACAATATCCAGAAATTCTTCATTGCAGCATACACTGGTTGTGATGTGGAATTGGATGTTGACTTAGCCATGCAAAGGAGAGTTTTACTTTGTGAGTCATCACTGTCATGAATCTCTGTCTGCCTCTGAAGGACAACGGGGGAGCTCCATTGTTTGGGGAACGCATCCCTGTGACACGGCGGGTAGTAGAGCAGAATCCCTCAGACACAAGCGGCAAGTTCCTGTATCTCACCTTACTTCAAAATAGTATTTCATCTCTTTCAAAATCATATTCCATAGGGTAAAGGAAATATCACACTGAGATTGTCAGCAACATCTTTCACTGCTCAAGTGGCTTCTTTTGAACAGCTGTTAAGATACCATTTTAGCCTCACATTTGCTCCGAAGGGATAACGAATAATGACTATGACTTGAAAAAAACATTGGAATTCCTAGGCAGAAGCCTTATTTATATTGCACTTATAGCATGGCAGCAGCAGTGTCCATTTGCTTTTTGTCTGATGCTCAGACTCTGTGTCCTACTGTGTGAGATAAAACACAGCAAGGGAGTAATCATTCCTCGCTCTTACCTTTGGGCAAAATGGCTGATGTTGTTGCAGCCTGAGTCTCAGGGGAAAAGGAACCAAACAGCACACTTTGCTCTGTCTATGCCTGTGTGGATAAAGGACAATGGAAATTTAGGGCATGATCTAAGTCCCATAAAACAAGCCCCTACAAATCTTCCCGGAAAAGTCTTCTAACATCACTTCTACCATCTCGTCCCACCGCAGGGAAAGGTAGATTATGGACCAACTGCAGCAGTGCTTATTCCATTATCTCATCCTAAAACTGGGAACAGAATGTCCACAGAAAGGGAGGCTTTGGGAGAAATTATTTTAGCTTTTCAGCTCTGTGAGGATGAAGAGAAAAACAGAAAAACAGGCTCATCACATTCATATGCCTCCTTTGGGTGCGGTCTGCTACAGAGCAGAAACTATCCCCATCTCCCTAAAGACAACAACTGATAGTAGTGCAGAGAGAAAAATCACACTGAATACTGCTTCTTCCGCAGAAACGCAAAAGGAGAAAAGTGGCTGGTGAAGTATTTGATGCTTTCAACGTATTTTAAAGGGCAATAAAAGTTCAACAAAAATGTTACATACCAGTAAGTTCAACAACTTTGTTGTCAATTAACCTGTGAGAATTTAGCATTGTTTTTCATTATCACATTTCTAGAGTTGTACAAAATGCAACATCTCCTTCCTTTTAGCACTTACAAATAAGCCAGTGTTTGTAAGTTGTTGAATAAGGGTTAGGATAGTTTTGTATAACCAGTTCCAGTTAATAGTCATAAAAGCAGAATTTGTATCAACTATTTGCATGGAGCATTTTTGGCTCCTGCGTAGGTTGCAGAAATTTTGGCTGAATTTCAAGACAAAGTTGATTTGAATCAACCTTACTTCAGCACATGCTAAAGAAATGCTTTGCCTGAACCAAAAAGAGAAAAAAACTTGGAATTCTTATACGAACAGTAGTGCTATATTGCTTTTTCTTTAAAATGTATGTAAAAGGATAAATAGAAAATTTCAACTGCATCTATACTTCGAATTGAATCGCAGAATTTCACATCATTTCATCTATGTGAGATATATGATAAGAGCAACCAAGCCCTTATTATCATTCAGTGTTAAGGTCTGTGATAAGATTTCCTTCTCTCATTTAAATCTACAAGAGTTACACCATGTTAGCTGTACAGTACAGTACATTTCCCTGTGCCACATTCTTTAGAAGGGAGACTAACTCATGCTTTGCTTACCTTGAATAATAACTTATTCCACAAATAAACTAGTCACAATAGGCTAATAGACATGTGCGATGTTGTGGTCCAGGCCCGATTCTGCCAGTATCTTTTGTGATGAACCATATAGAATGAAATGGCATTAGCTGTATGCTAACCTTGTTAAAAGTCAGGATGGACAAATGTGTCTCTGAGACATTGGTACAGCTGTATGGGTCATAAAGGATAGCCGACGTCTAGAGTTTGGTCAGTTACTTCCACAGTTGTATAGATTATTATTTGAAGGAGAGCGGTAGCAGCGCACTCTTTGCTGATACTTGGAAAACACAGTAAATATTTTGCAGAACTTGTCAATTGCTCTCAGCTTGGTGTGTAACATTGAACTTTTATGAAGTGTTTTATTATTAAGGATTAACTACAACATTACCTTTTAATAGGATCATAAATCTTTAATTACAGTTCAATATGGTACCAACTAAAATTGCTTTTGGAATGAAACAATTTTATTGTATGTTATGAATAAGAAATTTCTGTCAGAGAAAAAGAAATCATAACTTCTCGGGGAGAAGTTAAGGCATGCACGACTCCCACTGACTTCAATGGATGTGACTGTCTGCCCAGTCATTAACACAGAATTTATCTGGTTTGCCACTACTATATTTACTATTTTTAATGCCCGTTAAAAATTCAGTCCATGCTGTGATTGCTCTATTTTTATTTGTTCTTAAACTCCACAGTGGTGTTAGCTCTAGTTGTTTAAGAGATCCCATTCCAGGGAAGCAAATTGTCATGGCAACTTTTTCTACTGGCAAAAATCAAGCCACTGCAGAAACAGCAGGTTGGTAGAGAGACTTTTCTTCAAAGAACAAGAGCATTCGCTGAAGCAGTATTAAAACTACAACTGCAATTTCTTGCCAGTTGAAACATGAATGTCCAGTACTGTTGTCGCAATTGCAAATTCAGCTCCAACTTAGTTTCCTTTGGGTTGGCTTTCCTGTGCTAGAAAAAACTTTCAAACGGTAGCCGAGCTGTGGCAAGGGAGATAACTTTGTCCCTTACAAATGGGACTCAAATACTATTGTGGTGAGTGACTTTTTAAATTTACAAAGCTACGTATTATTGCTTGGAGGGATAGGCACAGCATCTACTTTAGGCACCTGCCATAAGCATCACTCCTAGGACCGAAGCTGCACTCCTAGGACCGAAGCTGGAAGTTTAAATTCCCTTTGGGGTCAGCCTGGAAGTCGCCTGCAGCCTGGGAGAGGTGTGGCAGATAGCAGTCTGTTAGTCACCGGCAGTGTGTACAGCTCCTGAGGCTGTATAATGCATCTAAATAATCTTTTGTTAGTTTAATTGTCAGCATTTTGTTTTGCTTTGTGTTTTAAACAGCAGCTGACTTTTGTATGTGAATGGTTTTTGGGCTACACCCTTGGATTGCATCCATGTGTGGAAGGGTAATACATCCTACCCGCACCTAAACTTTGGTTCATGGCAAAGAAGAAAGCAGTGCCAAAAAGAGTGCTGGGCTAGGAAAATGAGCTTTGCAGCTGCATCCTGAATGGACTGTAAAGAAGTAACACTTCAATTGCAAGGCAAGAGAAAAGGCACACTGTTTTCAAAGCAAATTTTTTCCAGTCTAGTGATATAAAAGCCCGTGTTTCCTCATTAGAGTAAATGGCACAGGGAATTCTTTCATACGTGTGGATACGTTGTCCAAAGCAATTGTTTGTGTATATTGGGTGAAGCTGCATCATAAGAGCTGTTGGTTTAAGCCACTGTCCTTCCCACTCTTTGCAGGCATAAAGGATCATTGGCAAACGAGGTTAGTATTGGTCCCAAGGCTGTTCCACAGGCTGTCAATTAAAAGATAAAAATTAGGTGATTTTGCAAGTGAAACTGAATTTGCACCCTTTGTATGCAAATCTGTCTAACTGACAGGGATTAAAACAGGGAGAAAGTTAACTCTGTATCATTTGCCCTATACCTTTCTTGACTGGTTGGTAATACTGTCCTCAGTTTTCTACAACAGCAGCTTTGACATAAGCTCATACCTCATCCTGGCTCTGCTTTCCTCTCAGATTTACGGGTACCGAGATGGTATTGCAAAGGTAAGATTGCAACACATTTGCATTGACTAACTGGTAACCAACTTGCTTGAGAAATCATAGCCGTGAAGAAGCAGCATCATAAGAGCCAGCCTGGCTACGCTGCATACCTGCCATCTCCGGCAGATTTAGTCAGTTTGCATTGAAATTCATGCTGCTACATGTTCACTGCTATGGCTATCTAAATTAACTAGATTAAAAGTAGTGCTGACATTGACTCCCCATTCTCCAGTTATAAAGGGATGCAGCTTAACACATCCCTGACTATTGTACCAGCTTCTGTCCTTTTGAAATAACTTTTCCCATAACTTTTCCCACTGGCTGGAGGCAGTTGTACATTGGCTTTGGTTAGCTAGCAGGCTTGCAAGAGATGAATGTTTCCACAGTAATTGTGTATCCTTCAGAAGCATTTTGCTTTCCAAAGGTCCTAATTCTCACAGCATATGGTGAGTATTTTTGCAATACATACAACGGCCACGTTATCTAGTTGCATGTACCAAGAGGAGCACATCTGTAGAGTGAGACAGTACTGGGGACGCCATATTTCAGGCTTTTTTTTTCTATTAGTTCAGACTGCCTCTGTTCTGGTCGCATGGGCTGGATGTCCACCTGCAATTAGAATGGACTCTAGGTGCTACTGGAGTGCAAATTCTGGGTTAGTTTTATCCAAGAGAATGCAGTTCATGCAATAACTGGGTATAGATAATTGCACAATAAAAACAAACAACAATATAATGCAGGACTTTGGAGGAGAATGATATAAAGGTTGGTAAAATCTCTTAAATTTAATTTAAAACTACAAACAGTGCCACATCAATTTAAATGTTATGATTTATGGCAGATTAAGAGGGTATGGTTAGATGACTGAATGCTACATTCCCAAAAGTAACAAAATTTGACCTTTTTTTTTAATCACATTTTAAAACTTCTAAGATTTGCCCTGGATTTTCATACTTAGCTTTGCGTAACAGCAGACTTCCCTTGAATTATCAGTACACTCTCAATCTTAGCACCATCATATGTTGGGCATATATACAAAAATCGAAGCCTGAACCTACCTGTGTTTTTGCAATCTATTTTCATAGCCCGTTCCCTCAAGCAGTCGAGGTTGCGATTTTTTTTGTTTCTTAATATATTCTATGGAAAAGTTTAGGTAATCTAAAGTGGCAACAGCAAAAAAATCCTCAGGAATGTTTGTCTTTTTCTTTTCCTAATCTGCTACTAGCAGATTAGATTATGTTCATGAACGAATGCCACCAATAATATGCCTCGGTTTGTAAAATGCTTTTGTAACATATTCCAGATTAGCATTTTTACTGGAGACCAGGTCTCTGTGCTGGACTAAGTAATTAATTAAATACTGCCTTGCCACCCACTGTCTTGCTGATAGATTTTTTTTCTAACAACCAAATCTTTCTGTAAAACAATGTTGTGGGTTTTTCTTGGTCTAGACTCCCTCTTGAATGTGCTTTATAATGTCAAAGAGACTGAGAGGGCATTTCTCACTCCATTTCCTCTGGCTATAATTTACCACTGGACTGTAGATGTATGTGAAGTGTAACACAGTGAGAAAAATGGGTATTTCTCATGATATTGATATTACTGTGTATACTGTATAAAATACAACTAACTTAAACTCCAAGCCTGGTGAAACATGTGCCATTTGTGTTTTAAGTAAAGATTCTGAAAGAGTTTTCCTTTTGAGTTTATTCTTCATTATTTTTTTTCTTTTCACAAGGATTAATTATACAGGGCAAATGCTAAAGATA